AATAAGATATATCAGGCTTTAGATGGCTCTATTCATTGTTGGTTTTGATTTTAAATGGGATTTAATGATATATTGAGTCAGCCTTATCCTTTTATTGACAAAACATTTTATTTGACTTGCAAATGTGTAATTATGATATATTATGATATATGGAAATCACAATTAAGAAAACTTTTTAAAAGTTTTTTTCCCCTTTGGTGAATGCAACACACTTCTGTACATCTGTGCATAATTACTGATTTGCATCATGTGATTTTTTATTATTTGATTAATACATGTTAGCATGAATGTGATCCTAAGCTCTGAGTAGAGAAATTTCCAATGTAAATTATAGAACCCAAAAAAACAGACATTGATCTCCAATCTCTGTATCATTTGCAGACATGTTTTTGAAAGATCTGTGTGACAAATTTCTTGCTGTCAAGGTTTGACAACATGGTGGAGGTTATACGAGGGTGTAACTGTAAGCACAAGTTGTATGCAAGTACAACAAGCATTAAAACATTCAAAAACATGCATTTTAAACCAGTGTTGCTTGTAAAGCCCCACAAATATTGGATCATTTATGTTACATTATTTTACTTTAAAATAAAAATAAGCAGTTAGACTGAAGCCAAAAGGTTCTAAAATTGGGTCGTCAAAATCACTCGTCAAATACTGCCACTTTGTCAGTGGTCCTTAGCTTCAAAATATGACGCTGTAGGTATCCCCTTTCATAATTTCTGGACAGGCTCCACTCCGGTCAAGTTAGCAACAATAAATATTCAACTTGTCTTAGCAAATACAACAAAAAATATGTTTTATAAAAATTACTTACTGCAGCTTTAATGCTGTGAAATGGTCACAGTTTGGTTAGGTTTAGGCCCAAAAACTACTAGGTTTAGGAACAGACTGTAAGTAACGTTATGTACCTGCACACAGGACACAAACAGCGCTCTCCTGGGTTAGGCCCTGTGTTTGTTTGAGCCATCCAAGCAGCTTACTACTTGAAACAATTGTATCAAGGAGATTGCAACATACAGAAACATCCCTGCGGTACTGCAACAAAGTTTTAATATATGCCAACCGAGACCCTTCACTCAAAGGGAGAAGCATTTCTGCACTTTTTGGTATCATATGAAAGTGTGACATGTTGCAGAATGCATTGTTTTACAAGTTGTAAATTCATTAAGCAGTCAATACAGAGTCTAATAGAGTAGCAGTTAACGTTGCCGACAATAATACTAATTACATTGAAAAACGCATAATTTGTCATTAAAATAATGGTTGTGGTAATAAATAAGACCCCCACAGATGTAGGATTTTATAGCTTTCATGGGAGCTCATAACTTGAACCCTGCCTACAGCGTCATATTTTGAAGCGGACGGCCACTGACCAACTGTCCACTATGAATTGTCTTAACAGTAAACACATTTTCTAGTATACATTTTTGGACAATTAGAAATAATTTATTGATCCCTTTGAGGAAATTTTCTAGACAAGAAGAATTGTGAGAAAATAGAAATAATAATAATAGGTTTGTTAAAATATGTGCATTATACTTAAATATTTAACAGTATAATCCACATATTTTACCATAGTTCTTATGCAAAGTAGATGGTATACATTGTGGGTAACAGTTTAAATTAACCCTTATACACACCCTCTCTGTCATTTCAGAAATCTAATTTATTGAACCAAACTGTATTGTCCATCCTGTTAAAGTAAGAGATGAATATCCATTCATGCTGGCATCACATCTTCTGAATAAACAACACTCACCAGTAGTTCCCTGCCTTTTGCCTTTTTTCCAAGAAATGCATACTGACACAGTTACTAATTGTACATTTTAGGGTCCATTGATTGCGACAGCTTTTACAAACGGATACCATTGAAAGCTAAGAGGTGACTGGTTGCCATCTCATTTGAGGTATTATACGCTGTTTCTATATCACAACCCTATCTGCCCATACTGACATGTATTGTTCTTGTATCCCTTTTACACATGTTATTTTCCCTTTCATTTTGGCTTCTATTTATTGTGGACGCTGTCCATCAAAATAAAATGTCACAGCTATTCACAGGGTTTGTACCAGCACGGCTGTGTAGTATGAATGGCAAGCCCTTTGAAAAGTTGCAAATTAATACTGAGGCATCCTTTCATTGGAACTGCAGTATTAACCAACCATGGTTTGACTCATATATGCATACATGCATGCTTTAAAAAAGTTTTTTCTTCAAACTCTGCTTTACTTTACCCACTGTTGCTTTCTCTGACAGTTAGTTTGGAATTCCAAATGGAAGGGAGAAGGGAGTATTATTCATCCCTATGGTTCAGTTCCTTCCCTTTTGCATGTCAGAAGGAGATTTCAAATTGTGTTTTTAATTAAGGCTCATACATAGCAACATTAATTGACTGTGCCTAGCACTGATTCTGTGCTGGAACTCCATCTGGTCCCAAACCTGGACTTTATGTGGCCCTCACACTTGTACTATTTGCAGCCTCATAGCTTTAACTTTAGTCGTGAACTCTGAAGTAAAACCTACAGGAAGTAAGTTGCGCTTGTCTAATTTGATCCCTAAGGAAGGATCACATTAGGATTCAAAAGACAAAGTTTGATGGGCGCCCGGTTAGCTCAGTCGGTAGAGCTGGCGACCCATGTACTGAGGCTGAGTCCTTGCTGCAGCGGCCCAGGGTTCGAATCCGACTGGCGGGCTGTTGCTGCGGTGTTATCCCCACTCTCTCTATAGCGCCCCCTTCTCCTGTCTATCTTCGGGCTGTCCCTTATCACAATAAAGGCAATAAAAAGGCCAAAAAAAACTAGTAACTAAAAAAAAAAAAGACAAGTTTGATTGTGCTCTGCAGTAGCGTTGGGATCAATGGGAGTTCTGTCTTCACCACCATTGCCTGTCATTGCAGGTCAGCTCTTCCGGTTAGATTTCTTTTGTGTTCAGGGAGTTTCTATAAACCAATGTATCCACAGAGGTCTCTCCTCTCCAAAACAAACAGACCTGCTGATTAAAACCGCGTAAAACGCTGAATAAGAAGCAATTCCAGCTTAAAAGAATCACTGCTTTCTCCCACAACTGTTGGACCAGACAAAGACATCCCGGAGGCTGCGAGCCAAGTGCCTGCTAGCGTTTAGCTCAGCTTGTTTCTCTGATAACTTGAGATCCAGACGTCCGATGACTAAAATCCTTCATCCAGTTAAAATCTAGAGTGAAAAAGCACCAAGATCTAAACAGTGTATGGTAAAAATGTGGCTTCGAACTGGATAAAATTCAATGTATGACAGCTTCTGGCAGACAACCACAACGCTGATGCATGCACAAAGGGGATATGACGCCATTAAGAGGCAACTGGTAAAACGAATTGCGCGTTACCTAAAAGAATGACAGATTTGAGTCAGAGTTTGAACATTGTTGGAAATATTTGGGATAACGGAAGTACACTACTCAACTACATATAGGACATAGCTCTAGTGTTTATAGACATTTTAATAAGGATATGTTATGTAACTTATTATAGTTTTAAAGGAAGATCAAGTGTAATCACCTGATTTTATGTCTTAATCAAACCTTGCAAGGGATCAAAAGTTAAGAGCAATAATTTAAACAATAATTAAATGAGCTCCACCAATAAAAAACAATAATGGTGGAAAGTTCAGACAGCTGTATAAGGAGCACCTTTGCATGCTAGATACCAGAATGTCATACCGAAGCTTGCTCCTGCCCCTCCAGGCATGTATCCAGCTCATGAAATCATACATTTGCAACTCCTATGAAGCTTTGTGCCAAGAGTGTTGTCAATGTTCAGTTTACTTTCAAGCATGAAAACAAAACAAATTCTCATTTAATTACTGATAGTTGGCAACCATACATCCAGGTTCCACTGCAAATAAAACTGTGGTAACAGTCGGATTATGGTTGAGGTGGACATTAAAAGAGCTGTGACATCTAGCTGATAGAAAGTTTATGGCATGTTCGATATTTTAATGTCTCAAAGTCTGATCAGTTGTTTTAAATGTCACCCTGATAGGACATAACAGGGTATCTGTGGGTCTGCAAAAGATCAGAGGAAATGTATTTTAAGTCATCAAATTCAAATATAAAATCAAAGATATTGTCAGATTTTTTTAACATCCAGTGGTATTTTGGCAGATAGTAAAGCAAATTATGTAATTTCACAAAAAGGAATATTTTCCTTATAGTGATTCACTTGGTTGACTTTCCAACACTTTGCTCTAGGTCTATAAGATGTCTCAAAATCAGCCAGACGTGGAATGTTCTGTGAATATTCAAGGTCCCCAAAGGAGGAACCAGTACTCTTTCTGTTACTGTCCTCTCTGACCCCTCTCCCTTTTCTTCTCTTGCCATATAGTTTAAGTGGAGTCATAGTGCAGCAAAAGCTCCTTGAAGTTGAGACATAACTGTTTTTGTATACTTGCGTCTTTCCATTGACTTATTTCTTAACACATCATTATAGTCTTTTTACTATATTTACAGTAGTCTCCAAAGAAAAACAGAATTAATCTTTGAGTAAAGTGAGTAAAGATGTTTAAAGAAGCAAATGTAAGGTCATGGGCCAGCTGTAGGACACTGGTTGCCAACCTTGGGGTCCTGAAACCCACTAGAGGTCACCAAAGCTTCACAAGGGGTTGCGAGGCCTTCTTGACTTTCAGGGGTGTACAAAATGTTCTTTTTACACAGTAGGCCTATATCTCAGCATTTCATTCATTTCTCTGAGGAAAACTATATTCACTCTCTGATAAACAGGCTTGTCCTGCATTAGGAAAGTTAAAACAACCAAAGAGCTAATAGAACAATTAGAGGAAACACTGAATTTGTCAAAAAAAGTATAGTAAAAGTAAAATATATAATACATACAGAAAACTGTATAAAATGTTCCTAAAAATCATCAGGTAAATTAATCTCCGGTCAATATTATATCTCAAAATTCATCCAAATCATGCAATCTTTAACTGCCGTAAACTGTCAACTTACTGTCTTAGTGTTAAACAAAAAAATTGACAGGCATGAATTTAGAGAAAGTTTAGATTATTATTCAAGATGTTATTCTAAAAAAAATCTTACAGGATAGGGACACAGTGAAGACCTTATCCTTAAAGGTAAACAACCAAAAATCTAATAAAATAATGTAAAGACAACACTGTATTTGTCAAAAAAGAAGCCTATCAAGCATATATGATTGTTAAAAAATGATTAAAAAAATATAGATTACAGACAATGAATTGTATTGAAGTCCCTAAAATCAAACTTTTTATAAAACTCAAACAAAGACCCTCACTGAAGTACAAGCTCATGTTTCTCATTAAACTTTAAGTGCAACTTATCAAAAAGATGCATTTCAATGCAGCTTCAGTGTTTACCTCTTTATAAAGGCACTGGTCAGGGGGTAATGGGCTAAAACAATGGTTCAGACGGGGTACATTAATGAAACAAATTTGAGAACCACTGTGAGCAATCAATAAAAATCTGACATTATCTGGTCTTAAAGTGAGCCCAGTGTGGCTCTATGAAACCTACAGATACCTTGTGTTGTTGTGTGTGAAATCCACAGAGACTATAGAGGAAAGTAAAATGCGGTTGAAGCTCTCGGCTGTGTGTGTCTGTGCTGCCAGCAGAATATTCCAGGAGGCCATGGAGAAGTCAGGCTGGACTTTCAATACTGCTTCTGTGTACAGGTGATGCCATCCAGCAGTAACCACTACAGCATCCACGTGAGCCAGAGCGGAGGTGGCAACAGATGAAGAACAGCTGGAAAACAAAAGTAAATAATCATCACAGAAAAAAACGACGTCAGTCAGTACAGCAGTGGTATAAAGCCCGACCTGCTACGGAGATCCCTCTGACTACCCTGTAGGCCGGTATCCATGTGTAGAGATTTGCTGGTTTATATTTGAATTTTGCTTTTCTTGGATTGTGACTTTTTTTTGTCTTGGGCTTAATCAATAATGAAACTTTTTTTAAAGTATTTAGTTCTGATTATTAAGTTTGTTTCTTTTGATCCTCACTTAAAAAAAAAAGCAATGTACGTTTTACTACACCTCTTTTTGCGTGCATGTCTGCGGAGACACTGTGGACACGTCTTTTTTTTATCTTTGAGCGATTGAAATATTGTCAGTTTGCACATACAAACCACTGTGGCTCAGTGGACACGGTACCGGTTCATGTATCTAAACAACACAAGACAAACCAATAACACCCAGTAGCTTCGGTTCTAGCAATGTGGTCACTAAACGTACCCATTTTTGGCAATAAGAGGACTACAATATTTTCAAAGTCCTGTTTTATAAATGTTTTGTTGTCTGGAGAAAATGATAGAAAAAGTTGTGCTTTTAATTCTATGTCAGATTTAAAAGGAAATGTATTACTGTAAATTGTGTTCCAGTCATTGCATATAGTGCTTTAGAGAGGGACAATATTCTTCAGTGCCTGAGGAATACCATGACAGATCCTGCGCTGTTGGTTAGCTGTGTATGTGCTGTTTTGCTTTCCAACTGTGGCTAATTTGATACCAGCATATTTACACAGTGAGCTATAGTGTGCACAATTAGAAAAAGACGACACAAGGTTGGCGTCGTGGATCTGCACTCTCATTCTTCTACGTCACTGCGACTCTGGAGCTCAGTAGCATGAAAAGAAACCAATCCAAAGCACACTTGATAGTTTTGGGAATACTAGACGAACCGTGTTGTATCCTCACATTTCACAAGGACGATGTTTGTTTGATATAACTGTCTTTACCTGTCTGGTGTCACACAAAAGGCAATATTTCAAGAATATTTTTTTGCAAATTGCGTTTCTTTCCGAGGATGAAGGAGTGCAGCAGATGAGTGTTGCTTATTACCTCAGTCCTGTGTGTTTTGTAACGATGACCAGAGAACTTGTATGAAGAATGTCACATTATGTCTTGCTGACAGAGTGAAGTTGTTGCACTGTTATTCGAGTGGGGCTGAGAGTGGATTTCATTTGCACATTAGTTGGCTCTTTGCAGTGGACTTTTATTTATAACTCAGTTCTGGTGGTCAGGACAAATGTCAGGACATTTATTTACTGTTTTTAAATTTTGACGGTTGCCTGCACACCACTGGTTGAGCTACCATCACTGCGTTAAACAGATTTTCATACAAGCATTACATCAAATGTAGAGATGTTCCGATACCATTTTTCCTTTGGTTACGATACCTAAACCCTGTGTATCGGCTAAGTACCGATCCGATACATGTGCTTAAATTATAATATTTTTATTTTTTAACGTTTAAACATATACTACTAAGCACAGTAGTAGGTAGGTAACTTTTATAAAAATAACTTTTTGTCATATTTGGTCAAACTTTTACTATATCCTGACAGTAGTATATGAGATAGATAATGTGTGGAAAAATCCTCCTAGTGCTCCTAATGGCATTTGCAAGAATCCACCACGGCTGAACAAAAACAACCAATCAGAGCCAAGAAATATAGTTGATTGTTGAGTCTCATTCCCAGGTCATCCAGTACTGATGCTTTGGGTTGGTTGATTGTTGAGTCACCTGGGAATGAGACTCAACAGTCCCTCCAGGAAGTTGCAATCACAACAATTAATGCAAATTCAAATTGCAATTTTGTCTAATCACTGCAACTTTTCTGCAAATTTGACCAATCATTGTAAAAGCCTAAAAATGATTAGGAAATTATATTGCAATAATAAATTCTGTGGTATCAGATTGGTGCACAGATGCGTACTTGCCAATACCCAAGCACATTTTAGGCAGTATTGGAGGAATTTCCTGGTATCGGAACAACGCTAAAAAAATGTAAAGGATGTTATTTATAATTTCATGTAATAGGAATTTGCTATAACTAAAGAGTCAGTCTTTCTTTAAAGTTTGAAATGGTTTATAAATTGATAAATGTATATGCTGTTTTCTTCCTCTCTGTGCTAATAATACAGATATTTTACAAATTACTTTTACAAACCACAGGAAGCTGAATGCTGGACTGTTTCTAAAATGGGGAGTAAGTAATAATCCAAAAAAGAAAAAAAGAAAATGTATACGTCGTTAATTAAAAAGAGAAACATGTATGTTCCCTTGTATGATGATTTACATTTCTAAGGATTTGTATCAATATTTTTGTGGTTGTTAATGATTATATGAATAATATCTATATAACTACCAGTAATAATTAGTATGTACTGTATAGCCATCCAGTTCTCTCTCCATTCCCAGTCATCCCCTACAATAATCTTTAGTTGATCATTAATGTATTTCAGTAATGTATACAAAAGAAAATCCAATGACCTTATATAGGAGTGCTGTCTTTGATACCAGTGTAGTGGTCTATACACAGATTTGTTAACCTTTAAAACTGTCACCACCTTTGTCTCTCCTCTCACTCTTTCTCCTAGTAACTAGTAATAGATGTTAGTCACAGTAGATACTATTAGCTTGTACTCATTAGATCTAGGACCAGTAAGGATATAACCTTCTCATTTTTCCATCTGGGGAAAAAAAAGCTGACATGGGTTTCACTTGTATTTTTATTTTCCTGTCCACTTTCTGTTCTGTGCTGCTCTCATGTGAACCAAAGCTCGTATTGAAAACATTTGATGGAAGATTTGCTGTAAGTTGTTCTTGTAAACAAGGCATTAATTGGATCCCCACCCTTGAATGTTATAAAACAAAAGGGGGTTTGCCATACTACCTTAAATGCTAATGCTAGATATGCAAAACACTTTGATTTGTCAGGCTATAATTTGAGTTAAAGAGCAAGAGGGATATAACATATTTTTCTATAGTCATAACAGATTAATGATAATGACAGTAATAACAATGACTATTATAAATATCATTAATCTGAGCTGTATGTTTTGATATTTGTACTCTTAAATATCCCAGTGGCTGATGGTACTACTTTTTGAATACTGTTTGTTTTTACTTCAGTACATGTACATTTTAGTTTAAACTCAATTTAAATGATTATTTTATTTGCTCTTGAATTGTGGAAACAGCTCATACTTTAATCAGTCATCATCGTTAGAATGCCAATCACAAAAGCTTGTTATCCAGTTTACTGCAGTTCAAAGCACTACTCATACTTACCAAAATGCCAAAATACTTACACAGCCGTACCAGGACACACTTTTTGTTGCCAGGCTTTGTGACTCATGAAGTAAGTTGGCTGTGGTGTTAAAAAAAAAAAAGGTCACCTTCCATGGAGTCTGCCATGTTAAACTGCAATGTTGCTACAGTAGCCCAGAAAGGACAAACCAAACACTGGCTCTAGATAGGGCCACTGTAGTTTCTCCTTTTAAGAGGTCAAGTTGCAGTGTGTTGAGTGCTCAGGGCCACCATAATTTGTGGAATACATAATGCCAGATTAGGGTGGTCAAATTAAGTCAAATTAATTTTATTAATACAGCTCATTTACAAGTATAGCTGTAGCTCTGGTTCAAACCTGCTGGCCATCTGGGGCCTTTCTGTGTGGAGTCTGCATGTTCTACCTGCGTGTGTGGCTGAGGGCGCTCCTCTGGGTACTTTTCTCTCACAGTATATGCAAAACATAAACTACCAGGCTTTTCCCAATTCTTTATCCCTTTAATATCTGTAAATGGTCTGTGAAGTTGGAGTCTTGCTTAAATAATAACAAAAATGGCAATACTACTAGTACTTTACAGGACATGAACCTCACTACAGAAAACCCATTTTCTGTGTGTGTGTGTGTGTGTGTGTGTGTGTGTGTGTGTGTGTGTGCAAAAACATGTATGCTTATAGAATAGGTCATTTTAGATCTGTGGTTTGACAGATACAAGGCTTCCTCAGTAGTACAGTACTGTGTCTTTGTGGACAGTGGTGAGGGAGTTTATTGTACTGTTATACAGTATATGCATATATATTCATGCCCCATGGTCACAGCAGGTGTTACAAACTGTGTAAACATCAACCTGCCTTGGTTAATTTTGGAATAAAGGATTATTAAAGTATGAGCTGTTTCCTCTTTAGAGTAGCTGATCCAGTTCCATATTCTTATATAGTAAACCTTAATTGCTTCAGATTCAGGCTTTTATTTGATCTTACCGCTCGCACTTTAAGGTAGCATGGCTCTGTTGTTGCTGTACTTTACTTTAATACTGACAGCAGTTTACAGCTAATGAATGTTACACATCTTGCTAGATGAGTTCATCATTGGATAATAGTTGGCTAGAAAAAAAGCGAAAACAAACGTGATCTGAAGGTGTTGGAATATGTATTGTGAGTGTACTACTGATCCACTTAAACTTGAATCTTGAGGCAAGTGCTAGGTAATGGCCAACAGCACATCTTGTCACTGTAACACAGCTCATGCCCACTGGTAGGTCATGTACACACAGATCAATGGTTAAGGCCTGTGTAGGTATATACACACACACACACACACACACACACACACACATATAGCTTTATGGGGAAATGCTAACTTTTTACCATAAAGCAGAGGAAATTACACTTAATAATAATAATTTAATTTGGAGCGTTACCAGCAGTGGCACAATTTCCTCTGACTTTGAAGGTTTCATGTTTTTAGAGGTGGTTCAGTTATTCATGTCTCATCATCTAGCAGTAGAAGCTTGTCCTCCATCTGGAGGTCTCTGATTGCCTTGCCCATTCCTACCACTTGCCCATTTTTTAATGTTAATAAACTTTTTACCATGAGAGCTGACTGAATGGACTGACTGTCTGAAAGCATCTTTCAGGTCTTCTTGTATGGCTTGCTCAAGCCCCGTTGTAGAAAAAAAGAAAAGAAAAAAGTGGATGGGGGTCTCTCACATCCCAGATGTTGAAAGTATAATTTTATATTTGTATTTTCAAATAATGATAATAAAAGATGTTTGTGAAAGGTATCCATCCTCTACTCTGGTCCAGAAATCAATGTGTTTGTTTAAAAAACTTAATAAAACTGTTATCAACCAGCACAACTAATGGTTTTACTGCTGAACATTCAATTCAATTCAATTCAATTTTATTTGTATTGCGCCAATTCATAACAGAAGCTATCTCAGGACACTTTTC